GCTTTTTTCTTTGGGGGGAGGTAGAAGGGGTGCAGGGAAGCTGTTGAGTCACAATAAACACCCGGCGGATACATCGATGATGAGGGTTTGCAGGGAGTAAACTGCAGGTTGACAAGAGGTCAGTTACTACTTAGCTAACTCCCGCACTGCTAAGTGCTACATGAGTCTCTGCCCAAGAATCGCCACGCATCGAGGTTTGGGTGACGCTCTTCAGGGACTGAGTTGAGTCTCGCGTGCTCATGATGCTGGTGCTGTTGATGAAGGTGATGATGGGCGTCTCTTCGTCAATGATGCTGGCGGTGCTTGCGATGTTGCTCTAGCAAAGCAATGAAACAAAGGCGTACGAATTCGAATGGTGAACAGCACCCTTAGAAATGGTTTGAGGGGATAAATCCCCATGATGATGTTCAAGTCCGTATCCACATGGAGCATGAGACTGCAGTAATAGTCAGCATGGTTTACTGGTGGCTTAGGATGAAGCAAACATTAGACATGTTTTATAACCTCCCCTAAAGCACTGATTGTCGACCATCGACCAACAGTTGTTTAAATCTGACACGTCTTGAGCAGCCTGGGGATACATTGGCTAGGCTTGGCTGGGTTTGTCTGGCAGAATGCTATGAGGCGGTTGGAGTGTGTGTATTCTTGACTCGTGTTGCATGAAGCGGCCAGTTGGGCAGTAATTGGTTTGGCTGGAGAGGCTGAGGCTACCAAGCTTTCGCTTGCAAGAACCACCCTATGCCAACACCTTGTCACCCGACGCGCCACTGTTGCCAAAAGCATAACGCTTTCAGTTGTTTTCCAAATGGTCATGGGTCAAAAGTAAACCACCAGGGGCACCGCTGGTTTGAGTTCCATTTACCAGGGTTCCATGATGCATATCTACTTTTGACCCACTGCCAAGTTGGTTTGCGGCGACAAAGTCAGCGGCAAGTTGGCTGCGTTGGTACTTGGGGAAGCCACTTGCGTTTGTGGCGCCAATCAAAAAAGAGGCCGACAAACATATAGTCCCAATGAGGACCCCTTTTGGAGGGTCTTCAAGGGAAACCAAAAGGACACATATAATGCAAACGGCAACCAAAAGGAAAACCGAAATCCACTTTGGGAGTCTTAAAACAAAGCAAAAAAACGGGACACCCACCAGGTTTTACCCAGATCCAGGTACATTTTCCAGATGGATCTCCTGCGAGTGATCTCCCGCCGCCGAGTTTGACCTTCACCTGGAGGCCCAAAAATGGAAAGCCCCCGAAGCCTGGAAAGAACCCTGCTGTAAGAACCCCTCCGCAGAACTCGCGATCGGTGCGAGAGATGCAGGGGCCCTGAGAAATGGCTCATCACCCAACTGGTGGTTTCCTTTAAGGAAATTGTCTGGGTTCGTTCCCTCATTCCCTACCTGCAAGAAAAAGCGCCTCACTCAGGTGGCTTGCTTGCCATGGCCCCCTGAGCGAAAACTGAAACATGTTGAAACAATCGAGAAGTTAGCTTGGTTGCTGCTGACTCCTCTGCAAAAAGCTTTTAACTTGTGTGTCCAATGGAAATCCAACCTAACAGTTAAAGTTCAAAGATCCGTTGCCAAATAGCCATCAAGCTGGGAAAACTAGAAGGTCAAGTTAAAGGTCTAAACATCCACCAACAGCAATCAAGACAAGACAAGCTCTGACAACCCATTCTAAGGGTAACTTAGTTCCTGCAAAAGAAAACATACACAAAGAATACACATGTCCTACCCAAAAATGGGTTTCATTGTTGTGAGGTTCGGAGCAACCTTGAAAGGGACCAGAACTGGGCTGCCGAAGCGGCAGACTGCTTGCTGCGCATGGGCTCGCCATGTGTTGAGGGAATTCGGTTTACTTGTTTCGTGATTTTAAAGGGAAACCGAGAGGAAAACTACCGGGGGGCAAAAAAAGACACACCCGCATGTAGATTGAAACTACCGATTGAAAAACGGCCACCAAAACGTGGGGGTATGGGGTATCACCGTAGATTGAATGACCTGGGGGTATGCAGTATGCACAGGGTTCCTGTAACATCCCAAAACAACCTGAAGAGAATCATGCAAAGATGGCAATTGTGATTTTCCAATACTTGCGGCATGAGAATTTCAGGCGGAAGCAAGCTGAATGTTGTGTGCGTGATGGGGCTGATGTGCTTCATGTCCACAGTCAACAGGGGTGAATTCACATATTACATGACATGGCAAGCCCCCCCCCCCCCCAAACCACCGCTTCCCTAGCAAGTTCAAGCAATGAAGAGTCAATAGAGCTGAGTGGCAAAGAAACATAATGCTTGTAGTGAAGCTTAACATGTGAAATAGTGTCAAAAAGAGCCAGAAAGCGTGCTGCATTTCACAGTTTGAGAAAGGAACACTTCGTTGCAATGCGCAATTATCATTCAGACCTGTTGGCAGTGTTTTCTAGATCCGGCTCTACATACACTGATTGATCTTTCCTGGCGGTGCCTGCAGCTGGGAGCATGTCACTGTCGACATTCCTTTAACCGCGCCCTAATACTAAGCCTTTCACCGAACGTGCCGCACACATGCACACCTGCACACCTGCTCCGTTTGATCGGCGCTTTTGTGGCAAATGGGGATGTCTCTAAAGTGGCGAAACTCCAAATGGGTGGTTTGGACACCTCCACAAACATTACCCTCCAAACAGATGCACCCAAATCCTCCACCCGTCGAAGGGTCTGCAACATGGCATTTCTCACTTGCATCCTTTCTTTACCCAGTGCAACTGTGCCAGTCGCCTGGTACACTGCTCATGTCTTGCTGGAGGTAGGGAATGTGTCCCAGCCCCCTTAAAGGAACCCACCAGTTTGATGGTTTACTTCGGAAGCCATTTCTCAGGGCCCCTGCATCTCTCTCGGACCGAACGCAAGAAATGTATTGGTCAGTTGGAATGGCCTTCCATGACTCCAAGTCCAGTTGACAAAAACCGCCTGAGGCGCCAAACAGGAATTGCACCCAAGAGCAAACGTTTCAGCAAATTAACAAAACAAAACTGAACATGCGGTCCTTTCACCAAAAGGAGGTTCCTCTACGATGACTTTTGTTGGGTTCCATGTTGGTTCACAGGTTTCGTTTGGGGGATTGAAACCAAATTTGGGGTATTCAAATACCTGCCGAATCCTTTCAAACCCACCCCTCTCCATTGGGCCGTGCCTTTGAGGGTACCCTTTATGGGGTTGGTTTAGGGGGGAAACCACGAGGAAAACCACAACTTCGTGGGGTCCCGAAAAAATGGCAGACTTCGCTTGGACACCGCACTGGTCACAGTCTTCTCCTCCTTGCCAAAGCCCGGGCTTGCGTCCTGGAAAAACGAACGGAAACCACCCTCTTGGAGGTACTCCCATCTCCATGGAGCCCGAAAAACACGGCGTGTTGTTAGAGGAGTCCCGAAAATGAGCCCTGGGTTCAAGAAGCGGCACAACACATGCGCTTTGGTCATCTTTATGCTGACAGCAGCCCTGGCAAACGTGTCTTTTGGCAGGAGAAGTGGAGCAATAGTTCTGAATCGTAAAAAGGGTTGTAAGGTCCAACCATGAGCAACCAAGTCCTTGTATAGGGAGCCAGTATATTAAATTGTTTTGATTTTTGCAAGCCAACTTCGTTCGAGTGAAACCTTGGGCCCCTTGGGCCGTCGCCAAAGGAGGGAACAGGCTCCCCAAAAGCAACCTGGCTCAAATGGGCGGCGGATTTCTTGTGGCTCCCTTTTAACGACCCTAAAAAGGGCACCCTCCCAGGGAGTGTTTTTGGAAGACGGATTTCCTTTTAGACAGGGGGTGTGAGCACCAAACCAAGTTGGGAGGGTACGATTTCGACCGCCACCACCACCAACAGTAGCAGCAGCAGTAGTTTCAGCAGCAGCAGCAGTGGTAGTAGTAGTAGTAGTAGTAGTAGTAGTAGTAGTAGTAGTAGTAGTAGTAGTAGTAGTACTAGTAGTCGTGTGGGCACTTGCGCAGCTGCAAGCACACCACGGTCGCCCCAAATGCTCTCCGATCGGCTCCTCCACCCAGGCTTGACGGGAGCCCGGGCCTGCACGGGAGCCCCAAAAACCCGAAACGCGGGGTGTCGTCCATTCAGGCGCCCCTTTCGGCGTTGAAAGATGCCACTATGTGTGGTGGCGGGGGGAGGGGTGGAGGGGGGGATGCCTTAACACCTTGTAGGGTTTTGTTGTGCATGGCAGCAAGCAGTTAGTGAAACGTGTAGCCGAAGCCGGCCACCCTGTCGGTTGCTTCTGTGCAGTTCTGAAACTTGAGGCTTGGGCGAACGTACCAGAATTTGGCTTTGACCATGCTTGAGTTGGGTGTTTCCAAAAACAAGAAACCTGTTCGCCAGCTTTAAAGAGAATGCCTGGCAAACCACCATCAACATGCTGTCTGTACACCAAACACCAATTTGCAACATCTGGGTCAGACCCAGAGGAAAGGAAACTGGCACTTTCTAACCTTCACTTACCTGGATGAGGACAAAATTATGTCCTCCCCAAAACTATAAGCAAATCATAGACTGCCAGCTATTTTTAGCTGTTGCTCAGATGTTGATTGTGTCGCTATTGTCTGTTCAGAAATGGTCCCTTTCTGGTGCCCCAAGACAATATTGACCAACCTTGCCCCGAACGTGGCAGGCTCGCCACAGCTCTTCCCCTTGTACAAAGGGTGGGGTTGCTCATGTTGCCTTTAGGAAAGGCCACTTTGAAGTGAGCTTCCGTTTGGAGGGGTGCTGTTTATGGGATGGAACTACAGGGGACTGCGTTGCCAAGCTCTCGCTGATTTGTTTGTCTCCGCATTGGGTTCACTCCAACAAGCACATATCTCTGTACGCAGTCGGGCTGGCTTCTTCATTTCGCAGAGTACCTGCTTTGCGGCGTTGCGCAGCAAGATAGCAATGGAACCAGAAGACATGCTCACGTCTCGGCGGCCACGGGAAACCAACGGCTGTTTGTCTTTGGTCTTCCTTACAGGAAACCCCATGAAGAAGCATGGGGTGCAACCGGGCCACTGGTTGCATAGCTCTGAACACTCGCCAGACAAGCTCCGCCCCGACTTTTTCCACGCGGCGCGCTGCCGGCTCAAAGCTTGGAAGGCAAGAGATGAAGGCCCACCACGCCCTGCGGAGAAACAGGCGCCTAGGGGAGGGGGGGGTGTCCACATGAGGGCCGCTCGGACTTAAGTTGCAGCCTCATTTGGGCAACAAGAAACCTGGGGTGTGTCTGTTTTGGAGGGGAACCTGTTTCAAAAGGAAACCAAAAACCAGTTTTGAGATGGTCCGGGAGTAAAGTGGTTGCTCATTTGATGCTGGCCTTTAGCGAACTCCCAGTTGACTCCCCTGTAAATCCTTCGAAGTGGGGTTACTGATCATTTAGCGATCACCCCTAAAGTAGCTACCACGCCTCAGTGGCCAAAGGAAACTAACTTTGACAGGTGAGCAACCTGTTGCTTCACAATCGTCCCGTGTCTCAAAATTTATGTCTCTCAAACAAAACAAGGGCAACACCCGAAGCAAGGGATTGCTTCCAGTTAGTGTAAAACAGCCCCAACAACAACCCGGGAAACCCAAAAGAAGACACATGTCAGATGAGCGCATGTACTAGTTCTCTTCCCCAATCCTCGCGTGGCTTGCAAAGGTGTTTCGCTTGCCACGCCGCATAAGTCTCGTAAACACTCCTCATAACATCTTACGTCGTACGGACCTGACCGCCAGACCATTATTCATGGCTAGTTACCGGGTACTCTCGCTAGATTCGCTGTTGCACACTGGAGATGGGACAACACGCCCAAACCCATGCAAGCTTACGCAAATCTAATGTGGAAACCTAGTTTTAAAATAAATTTCAAACAAAATGGGGGGTCCAAATCCTATTCTAAGACCCTTATGAAGGGAAACCAAAAAGAAGGCCCGAAGTCCACTTTTGGTTATGTTGCCTTCATTTAGAGCCGCGCCCATTTGGGTGAGCCCGTACCATGTGTACCTCGAAAGAAAACAACACCCCCCCCCCAAAAAAAAAAAGTACCAAAAACCCAAAAAGCTATGCCCAAACGAGGGTTTAGGGTTGCTGTTGAGCCTTGTGGCGGGCTTTAGAGGGTCGGGTTGGGTGGAGATTTGTACAAAAGCCATGGTAATAAGGGGTTACAACCCACTTACCATGGTTATAAGGCTATAACCAGGCTTAGCAACCACCAAGTACCCGATCGCGGCAACCGGATCAACCCATCTCGATCGCCTGGAGCTTCCTCAAGGCCTCCAAGTGCTGCTCGGAGTGGGAGTTCTGCACGTGGATCGTGAAGATGCCTGGGCCGGAAGGAGGGTTGGGGGAGGGGAGTGTTGGGGGCTTGCCCAGGTATTGCGGTAGTGTTGGGGGCCCTCAAAACACCACAACATATGGCAGTGCATTTTGAATTCCCCTAAGAGGTCGAGATGCTTTTCCTCACATAAATAATGTCCCAATTTGTCCATTCATACCCACCCATATGCTAGGTTGTCCTTCATACCCCTGAAAAGAGCAACTCCAAAAATGAGTTGCGCCAAAGGGATTCCAGGGTACTTGCGGGGGTTTAGCCCTTCACCAATCGGAAGCACACACACACACACACACACCCCGCCCCCGCAGCTTTCGCAAGAAAATTCAACCCGGGTAGCACAAGGGGCTAAACATTTCTTTTGGTTTACCCCTATGAAAACTCAATCGAATTCTTGAAGCACTCCACAACCCCTTATGAAAGGAGAACTTCCCGAGTCTAAAAGCCCGGGAGAAAGGGCTGGCTGTTAAAACGAACCAGGGTTGGAAAAGAATTCGAAAAAAGCTCAACTCCTAGAATTTGCCTTGGTTAACAGCAGAGTCAACACCAAAAAGTCCTTCGTTCTCGTCGCCGGCCTACTTTTACTTTTAATCCCCCCGGGAACAAATAAACATGCTGTCCAGTGATAGATTCCTGTTCAAAAACAAGGGGGGAAGAAACAAACTTCTTCTGCGCCCGGCAGAACTTCTGGTCGAAGGGAGGCCCGCCAACTCGAATTGAGGCCCCCGGGCCCATCTCCGCGGCAGGCTTCAGGTTCTTTCCGATGTCGTCCAGGAAGATGGCCTGGATCGGCGCCAAAGGCGCGTCTCACAGCCAAACAACTGGGTAGAAAAAAGGACACCAAAGGGAACCAGAACGGCACGGAAAGAGGAATACAAAGGTACAAATGCAAGTGTTGTAACAGCACTTTTATGTTAGGAGATGCCACCCCTCTCTAAGCTCATAGGGATACCAAAGCAAACCCACTCGTGATAAGAGTTGGGGAGGGGTTGGGATCAAGGGTTGGGCACCATTCAATCCAGGTGGGTTTAAAGCAGTGGCATTCCACTTAGTTTGGCGAGATAATACATGCTACAAGGAGAGCAGCGGTAATGTCATGCTCACAAATGTACCCCCCAACAACAAAATAGCTCGGGGCACAAGCTCCTTTTTGGAAGGTTACCGTTTTGTTGGAAAGGTTTCGCTTTGTTTGTTGGTGGGAGAGAAGCCTTGCAGTGCGATTGTAAGAAAGACCGTTGCCGCAAAAACCAACGAGGGGGTTGTGCACCGGCTCGTGATGGTTGGTGAGACTCAAGATGACTGCTTAATTGGTGTCAAATTGTTCACACTACCACCTTATTTTTCACGTGCTCCGGGTAGCAACCCACTGGACTGAGCCCTCGTAAGCGCTAGGGCTGGACTCTGATAGCCTGATAGTCCCTGACAGTTTCAATCCGATTGAAGGAAGAGGACACCACAGCGAACCAAGGACACCACAGCTGGACCAGACATGTCCTTTTGCCGAGTCCCTTTAAAGGAGAGGTTGGGCTCGACAGGACGAAACTCTCAGGACTTGGCCATGCTGCGAATGAACGAACTCCTGCACCACTTGGGATAGACGAAGCCCTAGATGGGATGAACCACCGACCGACTGGTGCAGCAATTTGTCCATCTACAGTACTTTTGTCTAAGACCATGCCCAATGTACAGGTGATTTTCATTCAACTGCCACTTGGCTTGTCTAACAAAGGGGCGACCCCGGCACCCAAAAGAGAACTCTTGCAATCGCAGACGATTAGGGCTTCCCGGGACATCTGTGCGGCAAGTAGCCCCGAAGAAGAGATTTAACCCCGGTGATCAACAAACAAACCCATGCGCGAACATCACCACTAAAAGTGGGTTTTACAAACAAACCCATGTACGTAACCCATGTGCTTGACAAACAAAAACCAAACTGAGTGTGTGTTCATGAGTTGCGCATTCTGAATTGCAAGTCAAAACTGTGACCCAAAAAAGTGCAAAGCAAGCATCACTTCCATTCCCCCCGACAAACCTTCTCAGCTCTCTATCTCTCAGCGCCTCATTTGGCTCACAGCCTGTGGCTGGAAATGCGCCCGGCGATGAGAAGCGGATCGATTTTCTTGCTGGTGCGATAGGCAGGGAATGAGTTGGAATGACCACCATCCCCTATGGTTTCCTTTAAGTGAATCCCTTCGTTCCCAACACCCCTGGGCCGCTCGTGAGAAGTGCTTCTTTTGAGGTGTCAAGGGAAGGTTGAAAGAGAAAGCAAAGGAACAACCATCCATTTTTCAGGTGACCCATTTGGAGACAAACCCGAGCCATGCTTGAACAGCTTCCTTAAGAATGGCCCAAGCACCCAGCCAAGGCCCAAGTGCGACACACGCGAAGCGATACATCGAAGAACCATCTTCTTTAGAAGGAGATCCTCTAAATTAGCTGGCAAAGACGGCTTCTTGACCTGCTTTCAAGTGCAGCACTCTCTACGCTGCACAAGAAAGGATCTGCTGCTCCATCTCGTCGAATGCGTCTTTTTGCTCAGCCCTTTTTTGGGTTCGTGGCGCTGTAAAGGGAAACCAAAGGCAAGCCCCCCCCCCCTCCCAGTTTGGGGCTTCTTGCATTTAGAGGCAGATCCAGTATTGTTTGTGGTAGTACCCTCCCACCAACAAACGTGGAAGTGCACAAACCCCTTCGCAAAGGAGAGTAGTCTTCCCAAAAGGGTCCATGCTTGTTGGCGAGACCTTGTAGAGCGTTGTTGTGCATTGCCGCAAGCAGTTTAGTCAAATCTAAATGTGCAGTCAAAGCTGGCAACTATTTCGGCGGCCTTGCAGTTCTGAAACTCGATGCTCATGTGTAAAAATGTGGGATTGTGCATGGTTGATGTGGGTGTCTGGTTTTAAAGAGAAAAACGGGTAGAGGGATTCGTAGTACAGGAGCATTACTTACGGGCAACAATCCAAATCTGGCGCTTGAGGTGTTTACCCATGGTTAACAACCAAGAGACCTTCAGAATCACCCATAGCCAGGGGTCAGCCTTTTACTCACCTTCTACCCGTCATCCTTTGATGGTTCAGGGGTTTCAAAAGGGCCCAATTGTCTGCCAATCCCCCACGTGCCTGAGTAAAATACAACATGTTACCTTCCAGCTTTAAATTTCTGCCAACCCTCCCCCCCCCCCCCACCCCCCCATGCTTTGACCTTCCAGCTTTGTTTTGTTTCTTGCCAACCCCCATGTGCCTGAGTAAAATACCTTATTTGGCTTTCGGCTTTGATGAGCTTTGAACTTCTGCCCACCCCCCTCCCTCCAACCCCCCCCCCACCCCCCACCCCCCACACATCTCTCAACGCGTTGGGCCTATGACGCGCAGGGCATGCTCATAGAAGCGCGGCTCTGGTTTGCGCATGCCCGAGGCAGATGACCTCGATCGCTGGCAAGTGAAACGCAGAGTCACTTCAGGTCACTAGGGGCTACTAGGCATGGTGGCCATATGCCAGTTCATGTTTTTCTCCCTTTCACTCGGGGTTAGTAGGGATGGTGGAGTTTTTGAGAGTTTAGACAAGAGGGTTCCTATTCACTGGGCTGTCCGTTTTCAGACCCCCCACTAAAAGTTGAAAACTGTTGGTGGGTTAAGTGGAAGTCCCCACTAAGCACTAAAAAGCAAAAATAGCAAGTAAGGGGATGGCCGGCAACCGCCAAGAATCAACCTGGCACCGAAGGGGGTCTAAAAACCGAAGGGGATGGTGGGAACCACCAAGAATCAACCTGGCACCGAAGGGGTCTACCCAAAACCCAGCATCATGGCTGTAAAAATTCAGGTTGTTGTGCTACCAAAGTGATAGATTCCCATTCCTTAATACCTCGCGTTGACGGGGAATTCTCTAAACCCAGGGTATAAAAGCAGGAAGATCGTTGCTTGCCTGCAGTTTGTTCCCCAGTCTTCAATTCTGCCATTCCTTTGGTCACTTTGGAAGCGACTGGCCACTGGCAAGTGTGCTCCGCTGGACAATCCTACCCCGATTCTAGGAAAACGCCACCGGGGTGTCATTTACGGGCGGGGAGACATGCCTTCCTGGGTGATGCTTGGATTTCTGTGCTCAATTGCGCGTTCCAAGATCATCGAAAACTGTGAAGGTCTGGGACACTAAGCCGGAATTGTACAAATATAATGTGCTCAAATCGTAGGATGCCAATTGTCTAAATAGCCATCTGAATTCTTTCTCAATATCTTGCCTACTATTTTCTGAATCTTCCATTTTCTGAATTGACTTTATCATACATAAATTCAAAGCTGCAGTGTGTTCCAATGGGGCCAAGATTCAGCCTGGTGGCTCGATGAAGTGGTCGAAGAGAAGCGGCAACCTTCGGAGAAGCCCTAGACTTCGAGCCAAGTCATGTGGAAAATGGGTACCCCTGGGGTTGGTTTCAATTTGGGGGGGGTCCGACCATTAAGAACGACACACCCATATATATATATATATATATATATATATATATATATACACCCTTTGTGTGCTGCCAGAATCGTTGATTCCCATGCCGGTCACTTCTTTGTCTCTTTCATCCTGGTTGCCCCATCAAAAACAGTTGCTTGCCCACGGCTATGGACAAGTTCACAAGGAAGATTGCCCTTACTAAAACATCTGCTGGTGAATTTTCGCTGCGAACCTCCCGGCCGCAACCTGAAGACCTCAAGAGAACTGGGCATGTTGAATGGATGACCTCGTTGGTTGGTTCCAAGGGAATGTTTGGCGTTTTGCCCCCCATTGTAGGGGTTCGGAAACCATTCTTGAGGCTTGGTTCAAAGGGAATCCAAGGTTCCCTAGCTTGGGACAGGCTGAGACAAGCACTTCCTCCACCAAAAAAGGGGTACTCTCCAGAAAGGGCACACCCAAATGGTCTTCCCAAAACAAAGAAGTCCAACTCGAGGAGTGACATTCCCAGCCGGAAAGATTTAGGTCCCCACATTGAGCTTGTGCAAGTCCTTTCTTCCTAAAGCTCATTGTTGGTCGGTGGCTCAATATTAATAAATAAACCATGCTTGTTTCGACCACCAAAACTAGGCGGGGTCCCTTTGGTTTTCCTTTGAGACGACCACAGAAATGGTACCGTCAAAGAAAACAAAGTGCCCCCCAAGTTGGAAAGTCGGTACGGAAGAGCAAGCGGTTGGCAATGTCCGAAATTGGAACACTGCATTGAACACAAAATCCGTGAAGAATCGGGGCAGAAAGTCAAACTTTACGTTCAAAAACTGGTATGAAAGGAGTCTGGCCAACAGCCCACAGGAAAAGACTCAAAAGGACGGTTTCCTGCCGCTGTTCAGCATGTTTAGGGCTGTCCCAATATGGCTCAGAGGAGATCAAACAGCGGCGGCACCTTCAGCGACCCCGAGCCTCCCCAAAGCGGCGCTGCCCTGGCGGCAAAGGGTCTGTGATATGGTTGGGCCAAGCCCCTCGGAAAAACATGTGTAAAACCCACCAAACTGTTGAAGGAACCTCATGGGTTGGTTGGCTGGCTGGCTGGGTGGCTGGTTGGCTGGCCGGTTCGTTGGTTGGCTGGTTCGTTGGTTCGTTGGTTCGTTGGCAAGATACCCTCTCACCAACTAACATGGAACCTGACGGCGCCCATCTTGATTTTGCGATGGGCGCCAAACTGCCGCCTGCGGAATGTTTGGGACCGGCCCCAGTAAGCCTGTGGGGGGTCAGACGCTATGCTTCAGGCTGGTCCACCTTGCCAGGCCGTGCTGCTGGGAAAACAAAAAGCAACGGAAACCACACGGGCCTCCCTCGTTGGTCAACGGCCCACCAATGGTAGAAACTCCCCCAACAAAGACGTCCTTTCAATCAGACTGA